CTCCTTGTCTCAGCTCTGGTGAAAGGACATTGAATGGTCCTATTTAGATCAAATGTTGACCTCTTGGGTCAGTCTCTGGGAACAAAGAGGTGAGTTCCCTTAATTGCTTAGGAGGCCAAGTCAGGACAGTGAGGTGCACTGCTTATCATTTCCGTCAAAACCATTCAGGATAGATTAAGGATGCTTCATTCTTTTAGACACCTCCACAACCCTTATTTGAAATTTTGGATTATCTGTGGTTCAGAACTCAGAAATTTTCAGATTTTAGGACATAATAGAGTACATATTCTGTTTATTTCACTCAGAATGGGGTCTGGGAAAACATCTCATATACAAATTACCTTAGCATTTCTGCAGTAAAACTATGTAAATATTTATATAAATTAGGAAAAAGACTAAGTATTTGGCATATTTTTGCCAACTGAGTTAACTCCCAGTTTTTGAAAATTACTTGAGTTTATATATTAGGATTCAGCATTGCTTATAAAAAGTTGTAAATCAATAATTAATATTCCTTATTGCAAGGGTATTAAACCCTCTGTGCTGGGCATTGCACTCACTTGTAAAGACAGCTCTGTTGGTAGAGACTGTTGCTATTTATCTCCCTATACTTGGCACAATTCCTGACACATGGATAGTGCTTACCAAATATATTTGTTGAATAAATAAATGAAGGTAGTAGTGACTTTGTGTATATTGCTTCCTGGAATCCTCTATGATGTAACATTATTTTTCCTATTCATTATTGCTCACTCAACCCAAGTTTTGTCATTTATATAAGTAAAAGTAATGATACCTTGCTGAATGACTTGGGCTCAGGGAGATTAAATCACAAACACTGTCACATACGTGGTAAAAGGCTGATTATAGAGTAATATCCAGGTTCCTCTCGCTTCTTTACTAACCTGTCTATTCTACTACTGTCTATGAATGAAGCTACCTGGTTAATAAAAGGGATCCTTTACAAGCTAAAACTTTCCACACAGCCTGTGTAATTATGTCTTTAGGCATAGGTACATCATTTGGGGGGAGATGGTGTATGCCTATCATTCATTGCAAAATTCTTAGTTATGTATTTTATAAAGTAAAAAGAGTAAGGAATAATCTCTTTTTTTTCTTTTTTTTATGAAAAGGGGTACTGAATGCAGGGGGCATTTTTCCATCCCTTTCTTTCTTTTAAAACTTTTTTATACTTGTAAAAATCCTGCAGCATCTTTGTATAGACCAAGTTCAGAGAACCCTAAATTCATTTAATTTATAGTTTTCAGACCAAAAAAACAAAAACAAAACAACAACAACAACAACAAAAAAAAACGAATAGCATGTTGGTGTGGTGACAAGTTTCACTGCATCTGTAAAGAAAGACACATTTATATTGTGCCAACAGCAATCACATCCTAAGTTCCAATTAAAATACGACTTTTTAAACTCCAGAAGCTGCATGTGACAGTTTAGCCATCTGTTGGATGAGACAACCATCACTGATTTGAGCCTAGATAATTATTATGATAAGAACTGTGCTTTGGAAAGTTCAACTCAGATCCCAGTGGAGAATGACTGTTAATTATGAAGAGATAATTAGTGAGGGCAGAATCTTATATCCAGGGAAAGAAATAGGTAACAAACCTTAATCTGGGTCTAGATCATGCAAAGTTTATAATTATGTACATTTTAATTATTATTTTAAATCCTCTTTTATGATATATATTAAATATATCAAATATTTTCTTTACCCTGATATCTTCCACCAGAGGAAGTATTGTTTTCCATAAACTATCTGTTGGATTTTTTTGCATTTGAGATTTCTGTCAAATGTTCTCATCTCCAGTTATTACATGGATGCTTTTGTTTTATAGCCACTCTTTGTGACATAAAAGGGAATCTTTAGCCCTTTTCTCTGGTGGAATCTGGTCATAGCCCTTAGCACATGATTTTGTGCCAGGAAGGCCCTGAAGTAGTGATAGTAGAATGAGAAACTATTAAATGTGGTGACAGAAAGAATCTAGATGATGATGGTTCTCAGACCCCATACTAAATAAAAATTTCAAACTTCTCTATGATTAAAAAAATGGTTTATGAAGAGCAAAAGTGATAATTTCCTTTTCACTTTCTTGATATGAGCATTTTCAATTTAGGTAATGAATAAAAGCCAAATATGGATGAAACATAAGTCAATCCCTTTCATCTTGAGTATCTTATGATTAGGTACAATGTCATTGAGCTTCGTGTGTACTGGGGACCACTGACATTTATTATCAACTCATCAATTAGAAGAAAATAGATTTTTAGTATGATTATCCCACCCATTTTGGACATGAAACTAAGCTTCATTTTACTTCATAACCAGAAATTTTCTTGCTACTTTTGGCTGTTCCAACATACAATCTTGAGAATTTTTATTGTAGCATTTAGAATTTGTAGCATAACTTAGAAAGTTACACTTTAATTTTTGTTATAAATGAAAAGTTTTAAAGAATTAATATGAACATAGAACAGTGGGATTAAGCACCTAAAGAGTGCTAGGGAGATTCTAATGTATTCTTTGTTTAAATGCAAAATGCAGTTAGTTGGAAAGGAATCCTCTTTAGGAATGTGTAGTAAGCTCACTGAGCTTCAGGGAGGCCTTAGTTGTAAAATGAGAACAATTCCTTAATATGGACTATTATTTCCAACTTACCATCAGACTTATATATGAATCCAGGTATTTCCACAGGTATGTTAAAAACATTCCTTAGCTTTATATATTCCTAATTTGGAAGAGAGACACCTAATAAATAGAAATGGAGATAATAAGGAACAGAAGTATATATTTATGAGTGCTATATGGCTATCAATAACTGGAATACAAAAAGGGAGATTGCTGATATTTTATTTAGATATTAATTATATCCCTAGGACCAGATGAAGGATCTAATAATGTAGTTTATAAAAGTCTGAATTCTCCTCTGTGAATAATACTAACTACAATCAATTTTTTTCATTTTTTAATAATGTAATGTTTTTATTCCCACTTTTCCTGTAACAGTTTTTTCTCAAAAAATGGTTCCATCAAGAAGAACATGTGGCTTAGGTTTAGGTTACAATGTTGAACCCAGCAGTGGTCATCTTTTCTTGAGACACTAATTTTTAGCTTAATAACTATATATTTAATATTGTTTAGCTTAATGTTTACATAATCCTGGACTAGACTACTTTATATTAATAAAGTACAGAAGGAAATGAAGAAGCAATGTATGTTTTTAAATTATACTTCTATCATTATTTGTCTATATATATACACACACACACACATACACACATACATATATACATACATATATACATATAGAGAGAGACACAATATCTTTTTTTTTTAATATTTATTTATTTATTTTTAGTTATCGGCGGACACAACATCTTTGTTTGTATGTGGTGCTGAGGATCGAACCCAGTGCCTCACACATGGAAGGCAAGTGCTCGACTACTGAGCTACAACCCCAGCCCATGTGACAATATTTTTAGTTTTATTTAATTTGAACTTCTTAACTGTTCCCAAGATACAGTCCTGGCCTTTTGATTTCCTTCTGAAACTGCTTCTGCTGCATGCTTTCTGCCATTTCAGGGGCTTCTCTCTCCATTTGGCAAAAAATGCCTTTAGACCAACCTATTGCTCTATTGTCACAGTGGCCCAGCCTTCCTTTTGGATATCTCACAAGGTTAGCAGACCGAGGATCCTGCACCTTTCTTGGCCTTTACCTGCACAGGCTACAGGGTTTTGCAGAAACACTGTCTGAATGTAGCTGTTCTAGAATATTATTTGAGACCTAAGATGCATGCTTAAATCAGCTAAAACATGTTTTAAATGCCAGAGTTAGTAAAATAAAACATGTGCAAGAAAGAGACATATGTGTTCCTTTCCCCACCCCCCAAAAAAAACTAATTTAAAGAGTCTTAATTAGTTCAGAGACTTCTAATGAATGGTATCCCTACATATTTTGGACCAATGCTTTGAAAACCCTATGATCGCATGCCACTGTCCATGCTAGATTCCTCAAAGATACTTTTATTTTGTAATTTTAAATTATTTTACTCTCTCATGTCATTTAATTTTCATGTCATTTTTTATCAATCATTTGCTTATCTTAATTAAAAATGTTCTATATCATTAACTACTTCATCTTTCAGTTAGATGATTTTCCATGTAATTATGGGGAAAAAGAATGAAAATTTTTCTGTGATTATCACAAATGATATGGAGAGTCGCAAACAATTTATAGTTAATTAGGAGCTTAGTTGGGGGATTAATTAAATTTCTCTGTTGGTCTGTGTAGAAGATGGATTTCCAACATATACGATTAAATTATTAATATAAACTCATATTTTATATATAAAATAAAACATGCTTTTACACGCACTGGCAAATAATCTCGCATCTAAATAAACATCAAACTTTTGGCACAGGGAAATTGCTCTAGGACTGGCTTTTTAGTTTGTATTTAAACAAGATTATTTTTAAAGTATTTTAATCACATCAATTGTGTCACAGCTTAAACTGTAAATATTCACAATCTTCACATGGAAATTATTTGACATGGTGTGAGTTTCTGTTAGCTTTTTCAACTGTGTTTCAGCCCTGTCATTTGTTTTTGTTTTGCTTGTTTTGCTGTGCATTGTCATATGTTATGAAAGAATTATAGGACTTGTTTTATTTGCAAAATCCAGTGGGCCATTTTGCCACTGTCTGTTCAAACTCCAGCTTAATGGCCCTGACTGAATACATGTGTCAATGGAGCCACAGGAATGAATGATGGATCTGTGTAGTAACTCTAGCTTTAACCTCTAACTAGCTTTCATTTATCATCTTTACAATTCCCATTTCCTCTCTCTATTCAAATAAAGTCAGTTGAAATGAATGGATACTCCGGCACATGTTGATGGTTCTCTTCTGAAGATAGCATTGTTCCGTTTTCATGATACTGTTAATAATTTTTTCGTATTTCTTTTCTCTCTCTTTTTTTTAGTCTCGACCTATTCCTTCCCACCTTACTTCAGCAGTTGCAGAGAGTATCTTGGCTTCAGCCTGTGAGAGTGAGAGTAGAAATGCTGCTAAGAGGATGCGTCTGGATAAACAACAGGTACTGCGGAGTCTGGGGTGTCCGGTGTGCACCAGCTCCATGGCAAATGCTATTCATTTATGTAGAAGTGCAGACACTCCTGAATAGGTCTGACGTGCACAGAGTTAGCGGTTTTGTGTCATTGTGAATCTGAACTTGAAAAATGCCAAGCTCATGGGATCGGTGGTGACCAACTAAACTTATTTTCTGAATGAAAAAAAAGACAACGGTGAAACTGAGTTAGAATTCTGTTTACTATTCAGTTTGAAGGCCAATTGCTTGGTAAGAGACTTTGATCATTTATAGGATTTCTTTTTACCTCATCATTTATCCTTAATTTTGAAAGAAAATGAGCCTTTAATTTCCTCTGGTCTTCTGCCAAATGCCAATATATTATGCTGAGGGTGGTAAATATGCAAAATAATATTGATAGACTGGAAAGCCATCAAATGGGAATGTAATGTAATGGAAATCCATGTCTTGGGCTTAGTCTCTCGCTAATTAATCATTTATTATATACCCTTACATATCCTCTGTGCCTCTTTTCCAAGGGTATATAGTTTATGAAGTGTGGATGTTTATATTTTTGGTGGATTTTTTGGTGAATACTCAATTGTCCCTTTAGTTTGTGTGTGTCTGTCTAAATTTTTTGTCTCTGTAATGCTTTTCTTGTTCTAGCTGCCTTTCTTATCTATCCATATAGAGAACTAAATTTAATATATTAAATGCTATGATCAAAGTTTGCTGTATTCTGGTTTCTGATTATTTTTACAACAAATGAACTGGGGTGCTTCATATTTCTGATGGATGTTAAGATGAATAGAGACTAAATTAAGTTAGTTCAGTTTCATTTTTTCCTATAAACCTGTGGGTTTCAAATCAAAAGGGAAGTTTTTCCATTCCAAGCTTAGAATATTTTAAAATATTTCAGGATGGCATCATATTTGATGTGTTTATTATTATTAAAATATCATATGCTCACTCTGAATACTGCAAAAGATGAAGCCTTTGTTGAATTAAAAATACAAAATGAGCCTTGCCTAAAATGTAAGAATGCCAATATTGAATTTATTAATCATGCCACCAGTATTTATTCACAGGTACATATCCTCAGTTGAGAAGTTTATCGTTATAATATCTATAAAATTTATCTTAAACTGAGTTTCCAAAATATACACAATACCATTAACATAGTGATTTAAGATTGCATGTTTTATTATGTTCAGCAAAATAAACCAAACTCAGAAGTCAAGGGTTAAATGTTTTTCTCTCACATGTGGAAGCTGGAGAGGAAAAAAAGGAAAGAAAAGTAGGGGGTGGTGTCTCATGAAAATCAAGGAGAACAGTAGAGTAGAGGGAAGGGACCAGGATCAGGGGAGATGGGAGCATAAGGGGAAATCCTGGGGAATTATATTGGTCAAATTATATTGCTATAATGTGTGTATATATGAATATTTAACAACAAATCCCACCATTCTGTACAACTATAAAGAACAAATAAAAATATGGGGGGAAAAAGATTCCACACTCTAGGCTAAATGCCCCCCATTTTTATCTTCATGTCTACCATTACTAATTGTGTGGACTTCAGCAATATATGCTAGTTCTGTGTTCTTTGGTTTCTTCGTATAAAAGAAATCTATGGTAACTATACTGATCTCGGAGTTGTGATGAGAACCATAAATGACAGACTCATGTTATGTACTTGACATTGTGCCTGGCACACAGTAAACATCAAGAAACTAAGCTTAGAATACTATAATGTCTAGCTGCTTTGTCACTGTGTTAGTATCAATAAAACTAGAAAGACACATTAATGGTGCTATCTCTGATAGACGAGTTTTGAAGTCAGACTTAAGTCCATTTGAGAAAACATCTTAGTTCTAGAAATTGAAATGAAATTCTGGAATTGAAAGGGCCCTCCTGATTATCATCTAGACAATATTCCATCTGGTTTACACTCTAGAATATCCTTGATTAATATCAATCATGTAGAGAACTGCACTGAGAGGTAAGTGATAGATCCGTGTTACATATTATCTAGAGCATCACTGAACAAGATCCCCCAAAGCTGGTTATCCAAATATTAGTGAATACTAATATTTGGCCCATCAATTAACTACTATAGCCCTAATCTGTAAAATAGGCAAGACAAATACCTGATTTATGAAGTTATTGTGAAGATTTGGTAAGTTTCAATGCATGTGAAAGCATAGCATATTTAATACATTTACATATTGTTAAAGATCTATTTGCTATTTGCTTGAGTACCTGAAGTAGTAAACACTTAACACTGAACTATAACTATCAAAACAAGTTTTGCCTGGATGACAGATTTTAAAAGGTTACAAACTTACCAGATTGCTTCACTTCATCTGGAGAATGGATTATGCACTGTGAACACTGGTTTAGTGCTTATAATTAGTTTTTCAAAAAAATATATGAGGTATTTATTCTTACTACCAGTTCTGTAGATTTCCTTTGGGATACCATCCAGAGCCTTCTACCATGTGATTCTGCTTCCCACTAGAGCATGGAGTTGGTAGGAGCCCTCTTGAGCTTGAATCCAAACCTTTGTCAACACAGTAATGAACTATGAGCTCATGCTTTCTGTATGCACTCTTAGCTCAACTCAGAATTCTTAGCATTTTCCAGTGATCCAGATATTCTTCATTGAACTCTGACTTTCTATAGTGCATAAAAGTTCAAAAACTGGACGGTTAAGATTTGTTCTTTGTTAAGTCACACATCTGACCCCTTACTGCCAGTGGTTAGCCACATGGAGAGCTATAATTATGTAAGTCCTTCAGATTTTATGAAGCTTGATGAATTAATTGGATTTTATAAAGCTCTTTGAGCTATGAACATGAAAGGTGTTATGGATGTGTTAAATACTTTATTTCTAATGTCCATTTTGCACTAAAATCCAGAGGAAGCTTTTATTATGCAGCCCCAGCCCCGAAGCAAGCCAGTGGCAAGGACAAGAGTCGACTGCTTCATCAGAAGTCAGATTTCACAGAACTGAGGTCACTCCCTCATGCATTCTAGAATATATTCTGCATTTCTTTTAACATGAAAATCTGGAATTTTTGTATCATCTAAAAAATTCTTCCTTCCTTTGACAATTCAAAGCCAGACTTCACTTTCTATGACTTTTCTCCAATTTGGGGACAGGGATCCCTTCTCTGTAAGTTTATTATTTAGACATTATTTCTTTTTTCTTGTATCTTTAAAAACAAAGATGTCTCATTGTTCTTGGTTTTAATTCATGTGGAGAAGCAGAGGCAGAACTTAAGAGAGATTAGAACCAGATACTTGATGACAGTTTATGGCCTGTATGTATAATTTTTGCTGTTTTTGAGGGGTGACACATTTCATTTATAAGGTGGATGACTGATTAAGATAGAAAGTTGCTGAAGAACACAGGGCTTCCTTGGCTTCCGTCACCTGTTCTTTCAGTTAAATTAGTTTGCCGTTCTACATGAGAGATCGCGTAAACTAAGGGTCAAGGGCTTCCCCAGCAGCAGCCTGGCAGACACTGCCCTTGAAGAACAAAGCAGTTTGTGCTTGGTGACAGTTTTTGCAATGACTAGGACAGATGGGAAATCAATGGTTGACTGTGATGTGACATCTTTGACTCTATTGAAAAGATCACAGTGGGGGAAAGGGGAAGTCACATGTCGGTTACCTGTGATACAATAAAAGATGAGGAAGTAGAAAAATAAAATACTCAAAACTGATGCATCCTTAAGTTGAAGGAAAGAAGGAAGGGAGGGAGTGAGGGAGGGAAGAAGGAGCCACTGGAAAATCTGCATGAACCTATTGGACTAGGATTTAAAATATTTAGTAAGCCCATGGTTCCCTGCTATTTTTTTCTTCAATAGTGATAAATTCACAGCAATATGGACCTCTTCATGATTTTTCCTTTGTTATGTTAGGGCAATAATAAATGGGCATATTACTAAAAGAAAGTAATTGTGGTTACAACAGTTGAAAAGGTAGCCACATGAACATGGTAACAATTTTGATAGACTTTTTATTTTGTCATGGATAAATTTGGAAACTATATAAAACACTGAGTTCAACACAGACTTTTTGAGTTAGGCAACTTTTCTTTCACATTTCTGTAGTTGTGTGTCCTTCTGGTGACATTTATAAACTTTAACAAATACCCCACTAAAAGTAAAATTTTTCCATAGGATCTTATTCTTAAATATAAGCATTAGAATAGTACCCGAGCTATGATTTGAAACCTATTTTCTATGGCCTGTCAGCCCACGTCTCTCTGCCTACCTATTCTTTTATTTTTTTTAGTTTTTACTGGTGCGTTGTAATTATGCATAATAGTGGCATTCGTTGTGATATTTAACATGAAGTGGTCAATTTCATTCCCCAGCACCACCCCATTCTCTTCCCTCCTCCCTCACGCTAATCCCCTTTCTCGATTTTATTGTTCTTATTTCCTCTTCTTGGTCATTCTCAGTTTTTTATTCTACTTCTAGAATTTTCCTTTCTTATATACAAAATATTTTGGAGAAAAATCTATATCTTTTGAGCCTTTCAACATTTTTCAACATGCCTCTTTCATTCACAGGACAAAATATACCAGAAAAGAAAAATCAAGCACTTTTGAGGGTAATTCTTGAAATGGATCCTATTTCCTGTGTAATCTGTATCATTTTAAACTGTACGGGATAGGATATGCTTCACTAGCCCTCTCATTCAAAGGGTATAAGGGATAGCATGTTAGTTACCCTTAATACATCGATGCTTTCATTGATAAGAATATTAATAATACTACCATCAGAAACATTTATGGATGTAAGATCATATGAGACATTTTACAAGGCTTTTAAAGATATAATTGCTATGATTTTTATAGAAGTTTGGAAATGTAGAACATTTAAATAAATCTTCCAAGGGTACAGGGGTCACTCAGGATGGAGCTCCACTTTGACCCAGTCCTCTTGCTTTTTAAAATCCTACTTACTTTTACATTTTAAGTATCTTTTTAATCATAT